TCAATTTAAAAAGGTTCATTTAAGGCAATTTAAAAAACTTTGAATAAAAAAATTTTAATTTACCCATTGACTTAAGCTTCTTCCCAAAGAATCTTTGGCCTACCAAAAAAATAATAAAACTAAGAAATATAATCATAATACACATTTAAAATAAGTAGATATGTTATTATTTTACTCTAAATAGACTACAACAGAAGTCTACTTACTGGATCCATGTAGCCCATTCGGCTATAACTCTCCTCTCTTTGTCGTCTCATTTGTTCTTCCATCTCACGTTGGCGGATCATCATCTCTTCTTCCCTTCTACGTCGTTCCTCTTCTTGCCTGGAAATGTCCATTAAGTATATAAATCAAAGTGTTATCCACACCTTTTCAAACTCAGTTTTGACTACACTGCAAAATTTAGGTTCATCTTTTGTCCAAATGTTAATGCAGAAGCAAAGGCCCAGTTTAACAAGGTCTGCCCGGTGTGGCTCATTTGGTTGACTGAAGTCTCTCCCCACTTCCCTCTCACTCTAAAACCAATAAAAAAAACTTTTTTTAAATTAAAGGCTTAAACAAAAGTTTACCTTAACTGCATTTCTTTACGTTTTTGCATTTCTTGATTGTGAAGTTCTTCCATGCGCCTTAATTCTTCCTGGCGTCGCATCAGATCTGAACATTGGAAAATTTTGTTTTGGATTAACATTGAGATCACAGTAAATGTTTTAAAGACAGTAATTGCTCCCATGAGCAAACCTCAGGGAGTCCTTTACCTTGACGCAGGAGATTTGCCTGATGCTCATGATAGGCATCTTCCATTTCACTTTCCAGTTTGTCTTTTGCATCTTTCATGTTTTTTTCAACTTGTTCCCTTTGCTGTTTCTCCATTTCATCCAAGGACTTCCATCGCTGAGAATATTCATACTCAAATGTACCATGCTGGGCAAAACGAGGAGGGGTTTCCCTCTCCCTGACAACATTTAAAGGTGAATCAATTTGGGATGCACATAAGAAACACTACCTGACTCCTTCCCCTAAAAACAGTGCTCTGTCCCTTGCCCCATCATTTGTAAGGAACATCAGGGGGTAAACAAAGAACCACTTTGGTTCTTAAGAACAAGACAAAATTGTGAAATATACATACTTCAGAAACAAAACTAGGCATCTGAATAACTGCTTCAAAACATCTAACTTTCGCCGAGACTGGTTTGGCTCAATGGAATAAGTGTCGGCCTGCGAACTGAAGGGTCCCGGGTTCGATTCTGGTCAAGGGCATGTGCCTTGGTTGTGGCCATGTCCCCGGTGGGGGTGGCTCGGAAGGCGGCTGATCGATGATTCTCTCTCATGGATGTTTCTAGCTCTCTATCCCTCTCTCTTCCTCTCTGTAAAAAATCAGTGAAATGTATTTTTTTTAAAAATCTAACTTTTTGAGACTGATGCTTTTAGTAAGCATATTCATTTAGAAGAATTTTGCACATTTTAAACAAAACTGAAAAATTACTAGAAGAAGTTCTCCCTTAAACTTAAAAACTGCCCAAAAGTTAATCCATCTTACTTTTGATACATTGGATTCTTCTGTGCAAGCTTTTCAGGAAGACCATCCTCATCATCCAATTGTTCAAGTGGTTCCACAATGACTGGACGAGGAGTTCTAATAAAAAAGAAGGCTGTATCTTATTTTCCAGTTGTATCACAACTTCCCCTTACGAGTTAATAAACAAAAATTATTAAAATAAGCACAAGAACTTACGTTGTCAGTAAGAAAACGCCTTCACTGCATCTTTCGAATGCTTTTCTTGCTGCTGGCTTAGAAGCAAATTCAACAATGCCTTTCCCGGTAGATCTTCCACGATCGTCCACAATTACAACAGCCCTTTCAATAGGACCAAACTGGCTAAAGGCTTCTTCCAACAGTTCATTGGAAACGTAAGGTGAAAGATTTCTAACAGAAAGGGCAGCAGCATGTGTGGCAAAGCGAACCCGAAGCTGTCTACCTCTCATGGGTGTGTCATCAAGTTCAGCTTTGGCAATTTCAGCCAATGCCCTGGATTCCTGAAAGTTATCAGACATAATCACGTTAATGACCCCCAAAATTGCCTGTCTTCTCTGAAAGTCATAAGCCTACTTCCCATTCCTTTCTCCCTCCAGCTCCAAGAATATTCAGACAGCCCACCCTGACACCCTTCTCAGAAGTTAAAATGCCTTGCCCACCTACTCCCCTTGATTCTTTGATACCAACAATTATGTACTTTATAAGTTCATCTTTTCTGCAAGAACAATGAAAACATTTTTATCCTTTCATCCTCACCCATGGATATGGGTTATTTTTGGTTGTGGTTGTTTTTTGGTTTTTTTTTTTTAGATAGAGCATAAAACACTGATGTGAAAAAAACATCCGTTTCCTGTGTATGCCACCCCCTCTTAGGACTGAACCCACAACCCTTTGGTGTACAGGACCTCGCTCCAACCCACTGAGCAACCCGGCCACGGCAAGAATGACAAAAACTTTAAAGGCCAAATAATTAATATTCGTTTGAAAACCAGCACATTTATAGTAGCAAAAAGGAGACCCTTTACTTAATTATACATAAAACCCCAACAAACTCACAAGTTTAATGAATCCGAATCCTTTGCCCTTGTTGATAAAAACTTCTCCCGGCTCTCCATACTTAGCAAACAGTCTTTTGAATTCCTCCTCTGTAATATCTGCAGGGAGGTTCCCAACAAACAACCTACAACGCTGCGTGTAAGTCTTCTCTCCGGGTCTTCTCAGGAGAGACAAGTTGGCTTTGAACCCCTATGTGAAAAAGAAAGGGCATTTTCAGACACCAGGGACCTCTGGCAAAGCAGGGAAACACACTAATTTTTGCTTTTACCAAAATGGATTTTTCCCAACGGGGTTGGCTCTTCCGTCTCGTTTAAAGTCAAATCAAGGTCTTACTATAGTTGCGAGATTTCCAATGGAACCGCTATCCCAACGCCAAACAGCCAAAATCATTCAAAAAGACTCGAGAACTTACACTTGGACCTCGCTACAGACAGGTCCTTTTTGATGGACCATTCCTTCCTCAATTAGATTAGCTCATTCATGGCCTATTGTCTTCCTTCCCACCTCTATTTCTGCTCACCATTCTACACCTATATCAACAACTTCGTCCTTTCCATATGCTGAGCATCCCTAATTAAAACTGTAGTAGACATAAATTAAGACGGCAAGATATTAAATGGAAAGAGAGCAAAATCCCGTTATCAAACGACATGACGTGGGCCTGCTCTTCCCCGACCTCTGGGAGCCTACATTTCACGGTCTGGTTCCCAGAATCTTCTGGCTTTAACGGGGCCGGCCCATCCGGGCGGCTCCTCTCCTCCCCGGACCCTCCCCGGGCGCCGGCGGCCCTCCCGGGGCTCCGCGGAGAGCCCCGCCCCCGCCCGCTGCGCGCAGGCGCGCTTCCGGCCTCCGACAAAATGGAGGCCGGCGGGAAGGGAGGGGGGCGGAGAGGGGCAGCGGCCATCTTAGGGGAACGGACGCGTAGCTCCGGACACACTCACCTCCGAGTCGGAGATCTTCTCCTCGCTGCGGCCTCCGGGCCCGCCGGGAGGGGGCCCCTGGTGGTGCTGCTGGTGGTACGGGGGGTGGTGCTGCCGTCCTCCGCGGGGCTCCAGGCCTCCCCGGTGTGGCGGCTTAGGATGGCCGCCGGGAGCGCCGAGGCCCGGGCCACCTCCGGGCTTCGGGCCGCCCGGCATCTTACCGCCTTTGGGGCCGCCGGGGCCTGGGCCCGGCTTAGGCCCGGGGACCGGGCCCCCGGCGGGAGGAGGCGGCGGGCCCCCGGCCTGAGGGGGGGTGCTGGAGACCACGCTGCTCGGAGGCGCCGGCGGGGCCGCCCCGGAGGGCGCGGAGGTGACAGCGGGCGGCGGGGTCGGGATGGGGCCTGGCCCCGTGGTGGCCCCGGAAGTCGGGGGAGTGGCGGGCGGCGCCGTGCCCGAGGCCGGCGGCGTGGTGCCTACCCCGGGGGCCGGGCCGGGGCCCGGAGGAACCACGGGCTTGGAGGAGTCCTGTGGCGGCGGCGGCTGCGGCTGCGCTGGCGGCGGCTGCTGGAGCGGCGGCGGCTGCTGATGTGGCGGCTGAAGCGGCGGCGGCTGCTGTGGCGGCAGCTGCTGCGGCGGCGGTTGCTGCTGCTGCTGGTGCGGAGGCGGCGGCGGGATCGGAGGTTTGGGGCCGCCCGGGACCGGGCCAGGACCCAGGGGCCCGCGGTTCTGATTGAGGCCCATGCCGGGCGGCGGCGAGCGGAAGTCGTGAAGGCCGCCGCGGCCGCCGCCTCCTCCGCGCCGGTGGAAGCCGCCGCCGCCACCGCCGCGGCTCCGGAACCGATCTCGAGACATGCCTGCGATCAAGGGACGGTCGAGACAGAGGCGGAGAAGTCGCTCAGGGAATGTGGATGCCACCTTGCTTTCCACAAAATGGCGGATGACACAGGCTGCGTGCCGCCTTTGTCCTCTTCTTATATAGGCCAGCTGGTAAGGCCCCGCCTCCCTTCCTAATCGGTAGCTCCAACAGCCAATGGCAAGCGCCGTATTTGATGACGTTATTTTTACGAAGTGCTCTTGTCTTCTATTGGCTGTTTGGTGAGAGGCGGGAGGGATGTAGCTGAAGCCTCCCATTGGCCAATGAGCGGCAAAGGAGTTGGCTGGAGGCCTCTGTGATTTGCTGGGAGAAGTTTGAATGGGTTCGCCGGACCAATTTTCTCAGGAAAGCAAATAGTAAGGGCTCTATCGGCTCCCAGGGAAAGATGATAAGGGCCCTTTTCTTTCTCGATTGCCCCGGAAGCAGTCTATTGTTATCTTTTCCCAGAAAGAACGTCCCCTGGTTCAAAGGCATAAATTAAGTGCCAGCGATTTGCTATAACCCTGTGTTAGGCCAGGGAGATAAGGAAAATCAAATCTTACCGACTTCACACGCGATCTTACTGTCCTCTAAGCAGCTTTTGGTGGGTCATTCCTCCCTCAATATTCCCTCTTTTATCGCTTCCCGGCCTTTTGGCTAAGATCAAGTGTAGTTTCTGTTCTTAATCAGTTTAATATCTGACACGCCCTCTATCCTAGAACAATTAAATGGATTTTTGGAGCAGGGAGATCGAATTGGAGCTTGCTCCGTCCACTCCACGCATTGACCCGGTATTGCATTGCCTCCGGGAATGGTGCACACACTCATACAAAAACATTAGCTCTTTTAGCTCATGGCTTATTGTCTTCTTTTCCAACTCTCTGTTCATCCAACATTTATGTGGACGACCACCCAATACTCTGTCAATTCTTCTTTTTTTAAAATATATTTTATTGATTTTCCACAGAGAGGAAGGAAGAAGGATAGAGAGCTAGAAACGTCGATGAGAGAGAAACATCAACCAGCTGCCTCCTGCACACCCCCACCGGGGATGTGCCTGCAACTAATGTACATGCCCTTGACCGGAATCGAACGCAGACCAACGCTCTATCCACTGAGCCAAACCGGTTTCGGCCCACTTGGGAGTTTTAGCTGGCATGTCAATTAATATATCCACACTGGAGCTCTCCATTGAACTAACTTATTCTTTTCCCTACTTTTCCCCATCATAGTAAATAGTATCATCTCCATTGTTAAAATAGCAAGGATTCATCCTCTTCATAAACTCCAAACATTAGTACTACCTCTAAAGTATATCTCGATTCCATTTACTTCTCTCCATCTCTATCACTGCAATCTAATATTTTTTTTACCTCCATCTACACCCAAATTACTGCAACTATTTAACTTGTTTCCTTCCTCTGTTTCTGGATCTACTCTAATCTATTTTCCATATGGCAGCTAGGAGATTTTTTTTTCATCCTTAACAGACATTTATTGATGAGATGTAAACAATGTGATGTCAGTGATCAAATTAGTTTGAATTTCCCCACCGCTGCCTTTTTTCTTGTGGTTTGGAGGTGCTGATTTGTTCCTTTCCAGAGATTCTAGTTTCTAGTGGGCTGTTAGAAACTCCAATCTTTGGGCCTCTTTTATTCTTAATCATTTGTAAATGTTTCTGATTTTGTGCCTTGATTGGTTTATCCATTCACCCATTCAGCAAGTCAGGAACTTTTTCTCGGCCCTGGCTATGTGCCCATGCAGCCTGCTGTTCAGTCGTTTGGTCGTGCCTCAATAACCTCCTGCCGGCCTGGTTGCCCATTCAGCCTGCTGTTCGGTCATCCGTCCCATTGTTTTAGTCCTGATGGCCCCTGGCTTTTTATATATTAGGATCTTCTCTTAGGCTTTTACAGCTCCTCTGATTTTCCTTCTGGTTTTCTCTTTCCTTCTCGTTGTAGAATTTCCAGTCAGTTGACTTTCCTGTAGTTCTGGGTAATGTCCATTTTGTATTTTAGTTGTATTTTATTGAAATTGTTGTGTGAGGCTGCAGTTAGGTGTTTATCTATGCCGCCATCTTGGATGCTTTCTGTGTGATCAAGTAGAGAAATCTTTTAAGAAAAAAAATAATTCATAAAAAATTAAAAATAACAATTCTGATGTCCTGTTCCTCCTGATGGGGAAAATGAGACATTTTGGGTGGGCTACCAATCTGAATCTGTGCCAGTAACCTAATGTACTTTCTTGGTAGCCAATAATTAACTCACTGCCCCTTGCTCCACAATCTGATCTTGCAAGACCTGTTTACCTAAGTACTACTCCCATTTTACAGAGGCCATAAACCATGAACAACCCCTGGAGGGGGCTATCTGTGCTGGTACCAAGCCAGGTCTTTAGGTATGCCCCCATCCCAACACCTGGGGCTTTTTGCAAAGCCCTCGAAAGGTCTGGAAGTCCCATCCCATTTTCAGAGGACAAAGAAACCAAAGGGTACAAAGGGAAAGCTCCCTCCATATTGGCTTGCTAAGGGATTGGAGAGATGCAGGGGGCTGTTTCTCTGTTTTCTGTGTCCATCACAGAAAACGACAGGTTCCTGAATGGAGGAGCTGGGGATTAAGAAATATTGAAAAAAGTAAGAGACATGGAGGCAGAAATAGATTCTTCAAGCTGGGCGTTAGGTGGGCGCCATCTCTCTGATGGAGAAGCAGCAAGGGGACCCTCCAAGCCACGCAGGTTTATTTATAGGGTCAAAGGAGCTTATTTGCATTCTTATTTTTTTTTTAATATATTTTATTGATTTTGTACAGAGAGGAAGGGAGAGACAGAGAGCTAGAAACATCAATGAGAGAGAGTCATCGATCAGCTGCCTCTTGCACACATCCCACTGGGGATGTGCCCGCAACCAAGGTACATGCCCTTGACCGGAATCGAACCCGGGTCCCTTCAGTCCCCAAGCTGACGCTCTATCCATTGAGCCAAACCGGTTTCGGCTTATTTGCTTTCTTAACTAGGCCTTAGCATTACTGGATTTACATATCTAGACCCACCTCTGCTGACACCTGGACAAAGGCACTCTGCCAGTGCCTCTGGCTCAGCTAACAATTTAAAGAATGTCCATGTGCCTTCTCAGGTGGCCCTCTACAGAGAGAAACCATTTCCCCGGAGTCACTGTACTGGTACATGTGAAACATCTGAAAATAAATGGGTGTTTCCTGTGTCTCCAAGTACTCCTGTGTGTTCTTTGGTCGCTCGGTAAATTCTGTAACACTCCCATATTGAAAGTGACTTCCATTTATCTTAGAATAAAATCCAAACACCTTAGCAAGATATGCATGACCTGACTCAATCTGACCTCTCTCTGCTTCAGCATCTTTTCTCTTAACTTCCCTAATCCTATCTACAGGGAGCCCTGTCTGGTTTTAGGATTTATCAAGTTATTTTGTATGCTTTTTGCTTTGGTCTTCTTGAACTTGCTGCTTACTCAACCTTCTGCCATTATGGCATCTCTATTCTTCTGTCTCACCTTGACTGTCATCTCAAAAAAGCCTTCCCTGCCGAAACTGGTTTGGCTCAATGGATAGAGCGTCGGCTTGGGGACTGAAAGGTCCCGGGTTCGATTCCGGTCAAGGGCATGTACCTTGGTTGCGGGCACATCCTCAGTGGGGGGTGTGCAGAAGGCAGCTGATCGATGACTCTCTCTCATCGATGTTTCTAAACTCTCTATCTCTCTCCCTTCCTCTCTGTACAAAATCAATAAAATATATTAAAAAAAAAAAAAAGCCTTCCCTGCCAATTACCACAACATCTAAAGTAAGCCTCCTCTCTCAGTATGTGATAGCTCTCTTTGCAATTTGTATTTATCTTGTCTATTTATTCACTTGCTTATTGTCTGTCCAACTAGGATTCTATCTGAGTTTTTTAAGGTGATACCACTAGCCCAGAAATGCTTAATAAATATGTGTTGAATGAATAAATGAATGAATGAAAACATAACAATGAAGAACAACCTTTAGTTCCATCTCTAGGACATTGTTCCAAGGTCCTTCAAATTTCTGACACACTATCTTAGGGAAATCATGATGTGTGAAGTGTTTAGTACTAAGTGCTCAGTTAATACTAGTTATTGATACAAAAAAATCAGAGACCTCTAAAGGCACCTGAGTGTTAGAGGCTATAAGACAAATGGAGCCGTCTGACCTGGCTCAGTGGTTGAATAATGACCTATGAACCAGGAGGTCACGGTTCGATTCCTGGTCAGGGCACATGCCTGGATTGCTGGCTCAGACCCCATTGTTGGGTGTTCAGGAGGCAGCCAATCAATGATTCTCATCGATATTACAAACTCTCTCTCCCTCTCCTTTCCTCTCTGAAATCAACAAAAATAGATTGAAAAATAACAAAGACAAATGGAGTTGAGTAATAAAAGTCTGGTTAGTGTATTCTTGAAGAAGCAAGGAAGTTTATTATGCATTAAAAAAAAAAAAGTCTAGCTCTAGCCTTTGAGTCACTGGCCAGACGTAGTCCACCTGAGAACTGAAAGGTCCTGGGTTCAATTCTGGTCAAAGTCACATGCCTGGGTTTCAGACTCTTTCTCCTTCTCCGAACTTCCTCTCTGAAATCAATAAAAATATATTTTAAAAAATGTAATGTGAAATCAATTCATCATTCCAGAACCCAAGTGATTCCCTGTTCTAACCGTTTTTTTTTTAAAAAAACCCTCTTTTAAATAGTACACTAGAGGCCTAGTGCATGAAATTTGTGAACAGGGGTTGGGTGGATCCCTCAGCCCAGCCTGCATCCTCTCACAATCTGGGTCCCCGTGGGGGATGTCAGGCCTAAACCACAGTCAATCGTCCCTCTCGCAATCCGGGAAGCTGCATACAAGTGAAAGGCATCTTGCTGTTGTATGGGCAACTTATTTTTTTTGTCCTAATTATAAAAAGTAGTACATAAAATGACCCTTCTGAGGCAGTAGTACCATTTTCCCCATCTTATGGGTGGGAAAACGGAAGCAGAAAGAAGTAAGTAATTGGCTTTGTCATATAGTTATAAGTGTCAGAATCAGGGCTGACCACAAAATGAGCAAGCCAGAGTCTGTGCATGCCATAACTTTTTTCAGTGTTAGAGTAGTAGCTTGCCAGGTTTTACCTTTTAAATCTAAGAGACTGTTCCCAATATATAAGGTAGGGTCCCCAGGCCTGGTTGGTGATCAGCGGGCGGGGCGATTGGGGAGGTGGGGGGCCCTGCTGGCACCTGCCTTTGCTGTGGCCTGGTGCTGCCAGCTGGCCAGTCCCAAACCCAGATCGCCATCCTCTTGGGGGACGGGCGCTCAACATAGGAGCTGCCCACGACTGGGGGTTTTATTACACAGGATGTTTGATATACTGTTTAATCCATAAATAAACACTTCTTTTCTTAAATTTATCAAACTAGCCCTTACTGGCATTAAAGGGATTTTTTTCATATATCACTGCCTCAAAAATGCTATCACTGGTTAACTGCTTTTCCTTTATCCAATCAACAGCAGTTTTTCTATCCAGTTGCCTGTAATTCCTATTTCGTGAGCATTTCCACATCCTTAGCAACATTAGCACTCTTTTATTTTGTTTTAATATATTTTTATTAATTTCAGAGAGGAAGGAAAAGGGAGAAAGAGAAGCATCAACAATGAGAGAGAATCATTGATTAGCTGCTTCCTGCACAACCCCCACTGGTGATCAAGCCCCAACTCGAGCAAGTGCCCTTGACTGGAATCGAACCTGGGACCCTTCAGTCTGCAGGCTGACACTCTGCCCACTGAGCCAAACCAGCTAGGGCACTATTTACAT